GGGGGGGGGGGGTTCAGCCGAGCAATAACCGAGTTACTGGAGCGTTCGTTAGGCAAATTGCCACGGGTGAGCTAAGTTACTAGCCTGGAACAACATCGCTCGCTTTTTAAAAGCCATTCACTGTCCGTTTTTGCAGAAGTAGGCCGTAAACCTCCACCGAAGCCTGCTAATGAAATCTTTTTTTTTTTTTTGTTAAAAACAGCATTAGTGGTCTGATCCTGCAGACACGCTGTGTAATACCGTTCACACAAGTTAACACCGTCTCCAGCTTATTGGCTTTATTCGCAGCATAAGGTTGCAGAACGCGAATTTTGGCCAGATTGACGTACGGTATAATCTTTGGCCATCAAAAATATAGCAGCAGCGGTAGTAGCAGCAGCATTTCTGAATGGTAGTAAGAAGCTCCCCTTTTCATATGTTCTTTAAATTCATGTAATTCACTCTTCCAATACAATCACTGTTTTAAAGGTTAAAGATTTTTACATTTGTGCAAATATATTAAGAATCTCTTGCAGTGCAAAATTACTTTTTCAGATTCCAGATATGCAAACAGATTTTGCTTTACCCTTTTTGTATCCCCAGTGAAACTAACTGTGCATATACACTGACCTCGGGAAACTTCATTTCAAAGAGGAACCTGGAAGAGTTGTGACCTATTGAAATAGGTTTATAACAAAAACGTTTCAATGGTGTTATTTGATAGTGACAAATACTGTGCTAATAGTTAGCAAATCCAGCCTCAAAGGATTCTCTAAAATCATTACTACGATACCACGTGATTCCAGAGAAGTAGATTAATGCTATTTGACCAATGGAGAGACATACAAAGAAGTAGAAAATTGCCTAGAAAGACAGTGGAAAGATGTTGCAAGGAAAAAAAAAAAACTGACTCTGGTGGTCTCACTGTTAGACTACTCTTCATTTTTTGCATTTCTTTTCTGACCTAGACCATATGGTCGAGGCTCTTTTAAGTGCTTCTTACAAAATGGACTAACCTGGTTCTGCATACTTACCCAGACAGGATAATCTCTTGATAATCTTGTACTGGCCCTCAATTTTGAATAGGCACTGGCTTTTGATTAGGCTTGTCTGAACAAATACTTGCCGTTTTATGGATGCATGTAAACATGCTCTTTGCTTCCTTCCCATCGTTGTTTGTTCCTCCTTTAGCCTGCTACTGACTATTTATGAAATTATGCTGTGCATCTCCGATCTCTTCTGTACAAGCTCATGCTGGATCTCCGATTCAAGAGCTTCGGCTGTTGTTCCAATATACGTTGAAGCAACCCCAGATTTTACTAAGGCAGCCAGGTTCACTGCAGGTTAGAAAATCTGCATGTGAATGATAGCAAGTCATTTAATGCAGCACACAGAAAGGTGCCCTGTAAAGATGGATGCCACCCAGCACGCCAGCCTTCAGCACTAAGAGGGCCAGTCTCAGGAGGAGGACTGAAATGTTGCTTCCCGCTGGCAATCACAGTACAATCTACTGTATTTTTACTTTCTTTTTCCTGAACTAGTTATACTCTTCCTTAAATTGTGACTTTTTATCCCCTACTCTAGGAGACAAAGTAGTAAGAATCTGGACCAGAAAAAAATCCCACCATGCAACCAAACTGCAGCCATCTTCACAACATCCAAGGGAACAGTGATGATTCTTCATCTTCTCAGAACGTCCATGCAGTGAGATTGCCAGGAGAAAGCTCATGCCATCATAGTGGAGATGTTCGCATACAGCTAAACTCTGCCGTGGGAGAAGCTAGAGAAAATGCAAGTTCCCGACATTCGAGGCCAGGCCCACGAAGTCACTCACACGGACATACCCACAGCGAAGGAGAGGGGCTCAATGATTCCACTCTAGACTCAGAGGAACACAGCAGCAGCTCCCTCTCAGAGCTCAGATACCTCCTCCAGTGGCTGCACAAAAGTCTGCCGTATATCTTGATTCTGTGTGTCAAATTGATCATGCAGCACATAATTGGTAGAGTATAACAGAACATGGTCTAGGGGAACAGATCCTCCCCCAAACATAAAAATATGCTAATAATGATGCCTGAAGTATAACTCCATTTATTTTTAGCTTTATTGTTACTTGCTTTGTTTATCAGCAGAAGTACATTTCTTCTGTTTTCTTTTGCTGGCATATATACAATGCGCTTAATTATTTTGGCTTGATAATCTGAGCTATTAACATTCTGTTATAGTTACTGCAAAGACATATTAGAAGTGGCTTTTTTTTTTTTTTAAATCCAGTTCAGGATAACTTCTTATTTTAATGTATATAACTGACCCTTTTTTCCTAATAGGCATTTCTCTTGGAATTGGGCTGCTAACAACCTTTATGTACGCAAACAAAAGCATAGTAAATCAGGTTTTTTTAAGAGTAAGTATCACTCTTTGCAACAAAGTTCTTTAAGTTAACCAAGACCTATATGCATCAATTTTAGAAAGACGTGTGAATGGAGATGATATTTTTTGGTGAATAAAACAATGCATGTCATAGGTTTCGAGATAGATGTACAGTTTTCGTATAGATCTTAATGCTTCTGCACACGAGGATAGAGCTTCTCAGATAAAGTTTGCAAAATACAAAGTTTTTTTTTTTCCCCTCTGAATACTGAAATCACTTCATTTGATATAAGCTTTTTTTCAGTTTATGGAAGAACCTCTTGTCTGTATTTGTAGAATCAAATAGCAGTTGGCAGGTTTAACTTTCGACGGTCTCTGTTCACTCCCATAGGAGAACTTGTTTTTCAGAGTGGAGTGGTTTCTGGTTGATTTTTTTTTTTTTAGCAAAACCTTTGATACACATAGAAATTGTCTTGTTGAAAAGATTAAAATTACTGCTTTATCTTTCCATTGAGTTCTTCTATTTTATTTACCCTAAAACTAATGCAATAGTATCTTGTAGTAGTAACTCTGTTCAGGTGCAGCAGACTTGGTGCTTAGGGATATATCAAAGGCATTGCTACTGAGATAAGAACTGTAATATGTCATAATGATTACCTTCCAGGAACGATGCTCCAAGTTTCAGTGTGCTTGGTTACTAGTATACCTATCTGGATCATCTCTTCTCTTGTATTACACCTTTCATTCTCAGTCACTCTATTACAGGCAAGTAGAGGAACATCAATATCAAAAATTATTCAAAGTTAAATATTACCCGGGAACATTTAATCAGGGCTGCAGCTATTTAACAACAAGAAATTGTGGTATTGTTTTTTCATTCATTTTAATCTTCATTTCTCCTCTGCCCAGCTATCCTGCTGGACACTATGTTGGAATTTGTGAGATCAGACCTCAGCTCACTGACGCTATTTTGCCGTGTGGGATGTAGCAGGGTTTGATTCCTAGCTTTGACCCTAACATCTTGTCTTCAGAATACTGAATATGCAGCATTCTGGGACTCTTCTGGATTTATAGCTCCATTTTTTTTCTTACTGTTCTGTAGCAACAATCTTCGTTGTAAATCAGTCAAGGGCAGTATTTCTAACTGGGAAATAAAGCTTATCTCTAGAGAATGAGGGTTGTGATGAAGATTCAGGAAAGCAGGTTCAAAAATAGAGAAGTCAGAGATCATTAAGGATCAATTTATGATAAAGAGACCATTTTTTAAGCAGAATATTTTTCCTCTATGCAAATCAGGTTTCCTTTTTTTAATTAAGCATGCTGTGATAGTCTCTAGTTATTCTTTCTTCTAAAGAGGCTGCTCTAGTAACTTCTGATACTTCTTTTTGTAGCTTAATCTTTTTAAACCCTACTGTGGATTTCATGAACTTCTGGGAGGTACTTTGGATTGTGGGAATCACAGACTTTATTCTGAAATTCCTCTTCATGGGCTTCAAATGCTTTATTCTCTTGGTGCCTTCTTTCATGATGTCTTTTAAATCCAAGGTAAGAAAACAATGTATATTTTTGCTTCCTTTTGAAGATCCTTTTGCGATAAAGTTAGCTAATTATTAAATTCTACCCAGAGGAAAGTTTTCTTAATTAAAGGTCCATATATAACCCAGCACTACTGCTGTGGGCAAGAAAAGCCCGTGGAGATCATGTTCTTCCCTGCTTGGTGCTAAGGAAGGCTTACATTCTGATCTGAAACAATGGCTTGTATTACGTTATCGGGTACAGGGGTGTATTTCTGTCTCGGGGGGGGGGGGGGGGGGGTTAAGAAACTTTTTATTTGCTGCAATGTAAGAATGTGTATACAGGCGATTAGCATGGAACAGCTGATGAACTGTAAATTTTTTGCTTGCTTTATAATAACTGGCATGGGATGATTTTAAGATCTGTGCATGAAAACAGTTGGATCTCTCCCTTAGAAAAATAATTCTCCGTTTTCATTTTGTTAATAAACTTAAGTAACATTTGTGTCAGGTCAGCAAATTTGATTCATAGCTTAATTCCTCAAACCAGTAAAGTTTGATGGTTTTATAGAAACCTGCAGTGGTTGGAGATACTCATTTTTATATGCTCTCTGAGGTAAGACATGCAAAAAACAGTCTAAATTTTATGCCAAGATAGGAAATACTAATACTGCGTTAAAAACAAAACAAAAAAACCCAGACAAATACAGTTACTACGTGGTAGCATTTAAACAGGGTATTTTGGTAGGTTTTTATTTTTTAAAATGCACCAGGACAAAGTGTTTCTCAGGTACAACCAAATTACCAAAATACTGAGTTATATTCAACATCTCTGTTTTTATCTTCTACTAGCAATACAGCATCCAAAACTAATTATTGAAAATGCCATTATACCAACTGTGACCAAATTAAAGAGGGAATCTGGTCAATAGTGGCAAATCATTGCATTAGCCAGCACACAACTGCTGCAAGAGTACTTTATCCACTGTTGTAAAGATAGTATTAAAGGCAAACTTTAGGAAACAATGTAAGAGCTAAACTAAATATGTATGATTAATTTTAACGCTTAAAAGTCTGTGTGTGTACATACTATATATATGCAGATATACACACAAAGTGCTCTGTGCAGGATGCTTGGGTTTTATAGTTTTATTCAGTAATTTTTAGGGTGTCACTGGACTCAGTTTACCTCTTCAGTCCAGCTACTTACTCTTCCTTCTCCCCCTGCCCCCATTATTTTATCACCCTATCCTATAAAAAAGTTCATTATCTCACAATAATAAGGCTTTTAACACAGCTCTGAGATAACATTTAGAGAAAAAGAGTTTGTTAGTTAATAAAAGTAAGGGCCTTTTCTTACCCTGTTTTTAATCCTGAATACTGGACGCAATTCTGTCAATGGCAAGCTGATTTACATGACTAAATTTGTCTTATTTTCCTTTTTCATGTAATTTTGTTATCTTTTTTAGTGCTTACAAAAGTAAGACTGATAACATTGCTAAGTAGGTAGGCATCCTACAAAGCCCACCTTATTTTACCCTATTAATTTGTTTTGATTACCCCATTTATTTGATTTTCTTCAGTACAGCAATTAATAGTGTTATCTGTGCTGTTGTGGTGAGACTTACCATTTGGTCTTTGTTCTTTCCACCTAAACTTAGTTTTGGCCTAACTTTTTAGGAGTTTGATTTGACACTGTAGTTCTGTAAACCTATGGGATTTTCATTTGAACGTATTTAGTTTTGTCAAGATATGATGAGAGAAAACTACTCAAATAAAAAACCGCATCTTTTCTATATATTTAAAAAAATCCTTTGTGTTTTAAATCTTGAGAGATTCCTTTGCGTGTCTTGCTTAGGGCTACTGGTACATGCTGTTAGAAGAAATCTGCCAGTATTACCGTATGTTTGTCCCCATACCAGTTTGGTTCCGTTATCTTATTGGCTATGGGGAGCTGGACAGTGCACTAGGATGGACCCTTGGGATATTGCTGGGCCTACTCTACCTCATCCTAAAAGTAGGTAAACCTTATATTCCTATTAAACTATTTTGCAGTAACTATCACTGGATGGATATAGGCATATGAATTAATGCATTTCTGAACATTTCCCAGTGCTTGAACTTGCTTAAAAGTTGATGTTCTTCTTTTCAGTTTAACTGATACAGCTTTCCAAAATCGACAGGAAGACTGGCTAAGGGCACTAAATCTTCTTGTCTTTATTTTTTTTTTTTTCCTACCATCATTGAACTAATAGTGAGGCTTTTACTGTGAGAATCTGCACAAAACCTTGAAAGCTCTTTAGTTTACAGAGAAAAATGTTATGCATAACTCAGATTTTTCTTTCCCATTTCAGCTTTTGAGCTTTTTTGGACAATTGAGAAACTTTAAACAGGTTTTACGGATATTTTGTACACGACCAGTGAGTATTGTATTCTTTTATGATAAAACAGTAAGCCTGGCTTACATAAAAGTGTTTCTTTCTGAAATAACTCATTCCTATTACATTCCTACATTATTTTAGATTGTTCTAGTAATAGACAACTGCATTTTTAAAGTAATCCCTATTCACTTGTCCCTCCATTTCACAGTTTAAATTTCCTGACTACATGATTATGGGGTAAATTGGGGGAAAAAAAAAAAAAAAAAAATCTATTCCGATTGTCTTTTCAGAAGAACTTAGGTTACATAGCATATCCTTTCTGTCCTAATGTTACCTGAGATAAATACTGGTTAGATTTGAGGCAAAGCTTTATACTGGTACTGCAGGTGAAATATAAGTGAGAAACACAGCGTGGCAAAGTAACTGATGTGTAAGTAACTATTTTGTTAGAATTGCAAGTTTCTAGATAATGATCTTTCTCTACAATAGATACTTCATTTAGAATCTGCTAGTGATGCAGTAACATGTATTGGAGATTTTGGAGCATGGTATTATTGAACTAGAAGAACAATAAAATGCTTAAAAGTATTTAAAATATGATTTTTAAGTGCTTTCTTGATCAAACTGGAACTTAGCACAGTGTTTTGCTTAGAGGTCACTGTTAAAATAAAACTGCTCCTGATCTTGCCTACACTGTGATCAAGGGAAAATACTACCTAGATATTATGGTAGGTAGGAGCATGTAAGCTTTAGGCACCAAGGGAACTGATGGAATATTTAGCAGCATTCTGTGACATTAGGGATTGAATATTTTTCCTTACATAGCAGCCCGTATTCCCAACTCCTTTCTATCCTGATTTCTTTCTGTTTTTTTCCCAGAAAATAATATCTGCTGCAAAATCTTGTTTTACAGCACTATGGAGTGACAGCTAGCAAAAGAGAGTGTTCAGAATCAGATGATATTTGTTCAATCTGCCAAGCTGAATTTCAGAAGCCTATTCTGCTCATCTGTCAGGTAATAACACAACTCAGAATTTCTTTAAAATTTCCTGCGCTCAAAAGGCTTGTTGTACAACTTAGAACAGTGTTAACTGAAAAACAGCAGCTTTATGGAAAAGTTTTATTTAGAAAGTAACTTGGAATAGATCACTTCTATAGAAAAAGTGATCGCTCTTTCACTTTTCTGTACTCCCTCCTGCAACTTCCCATCTGCTCATAGACACATTCTGAGCATTACTTTCCACAAACTTAAGAATCTTTTTAACTACTCATAAACAAAACAATGTGAAGTTAGATTAATGGGAGTGTATGTCTTCTGATTATTTTTAGTAATGAGGCTCTACAAATAATATGCTTTCTTATAAATGGAAGAACTTAGAAGCTCTAAGTTCTCATTCTTTTCATTACAGCACACGTTTTGTGAAGAATGCATCTCTTTATGGTTTAATAGAGAAAAAACGTGTCCACTCTGCAGAACTGTTATTTCAGACCATGTTAACAAGTGGAAGGATGGAGCTACTTCTATGCATCTACAGTTTTTCTAAAGCATGTCAGATGACTTCATTTTTACAGTTTCCAGCTTTTCTGGTATCAAAAAATACTAGTTCAAAGTTTCACAGACTGTGAAAACTGATTTTTAAGAATTTTGTATTCATGTATCACCAGGCTTTAAAAATGTGCTATTTTAAATAGTTTGTCTTTTATTTAAAAAAAAAAAAAAAAAAACAGAATGAATGCAGAAAAGCCAGCATTGCTTCTCTCATGATTCTTCCAGGAAACAGTCAAATCCTTGAAAACGCTGCATTACTGCTTGCAGCAGCTTGTTAATTCAGCATTTTATTTAAAGGTATAAAGTATTCCAGACTCTAATAAGCAATGTAGAAGAAAAAAATTACAATTTAAACTAAAAGGTCAACCTACAGGCTATATTCAGATTATGAGCAATTTTTATATTTTGGACTACAATGGGAATTAAAGGTACTTGCCACACTTGGCATTAAAGATCATTTAATGCTAGCTCAACAGATCAGAGAAACCAACTTTTTATTCACGTGTCTTTAACGACAACTACTTCTCATTGTACCTGGAGATAAGCCACAAGAATAGGATGTTTCCCCTTTGGCTTCTTGTAGATTTCTAATGGATTCTTAGGCTTAAAACATAAATCAACCACTGATGATAGTTTTTTACATAGCATTTTATAAAGCTGATATTTTTAAAGCGGATCTTTGATAATATATTTTTTGTCATAACAAGCAACCAGATTTTCTTATGGGGAGAATCTATTTTATACTATATTTGCAATTTGTAGTGTGCATAAAAATCAGAGAGAATAAATGCATTTAAATCTATCCGTTTGGTGCATGTTGAATAAGCAAATAAGATTCATTACTGTTTCAGTATTAACTTACATGTAAGCACATAATGATGGCTCGCTCACTGCTAGGTACACTTCTGTTAAATTCATGTCTTGGGGGGGAGGGGCAGGTAGACAGACCCTGAACACTACACTTATTAATGACTTGTTTTATGCTAATCATATAGCCAACTTAAGTACAATCTTACTTCCTTTCTTTTTTTCCCCTACTTTTCTTTTTTCATCTTCCTATTCAGATAAGAATGGGCAAAAAAAAAAAAAAATCACTCAAATTATTCAGTTACAGGAAAGTTAAATTGAGCTGACTGTCACTAACTTGAGATTGTCTTAACTGAATACCTTTAGGAAACTTCCAAATTAGAGAAGAACAATAAAAAGTTATACACTTACGTGATGAATGATATAGCAATTCAAACAGCTAGGTGGTGTGACTGGCTATTAAAAAGTTGCAGCTGACACAGCCAGATTTATTGGGCTAACAGGGCATGATGGGAGACCGCTCTTAAAGTTACAGCTAGAAGTTTAATAGTAGTGAGCTTCATGGCTCTGAATGAAAACCTAACTAACAGGTTAGGTTAACAGGCTAACAAGTATCATTTTTCTATTCAACCTGGCTTTTGCTGCAGCATGTGCTGTATTTGATTGTTGCATTTTTGTTTGATGCTTACTGCAGTTCAGAGTAAACCTGCCCTATGGTTGTTTCCACCATAATATCTGAAATGACTGGGGACAAAGACTCCAGGTTGAAGAAAACGAGCAAAAGCTTCTAAATCTGTAATTGTAAACTTCTGGGAGTAGCAGAGGCTGGTTCTCCTGGAAGCCCTTGCCAGCAGTGAGGTACTTAGTTTGGAGAATCTACAGCTGAACAATATTAGAACAGTCCTGAGGGTGACAGGCAAGAATTAGTGCTTGGCCACAGCCTGAGCTGTGTTGTAATAGGCTTGTGCTCTTAGCTCTAGTATTGGCAGAGCAAACTGCTCTTTGTTTCCTCAGCCAGATCTTGCCATATCTTAGTATGAATGTAAAGTACATTCAAAGTACATCAAAGTACATTGATACAAGATCAGAACTGTTAGTTATTTAAATATCATTTGTGCCTGTATTCAAAGTGCTTCTGCAGCAAAACTTACTTTTAGTGATTGACAAGAACTGACTCTGACAAGGAACAAGAGTGAATAGGGACCTCAAGGCTGGATCCTGAATCTCTGATGTGCCCACAGACTATAATTAAATTAGACTTCCCCAGAAGTATTTTAAAGTATTTTTTTCTTCCTACAGGTAGCATGCTGTGTAAACAATTTGAGTGCTATATTTCATTCAGTCAACAAACAGCCTTTAAACAAAGCTTTATGTGTGTGAGTAAAATGCAAGAGTAAGCCCAATCCTCAGTTTATGATAAGGGCCAGATATAATAAACTAATAGAATACTGGAAGTAAAATAACTTATCTTGGATTAGTTTTTTCTTGAAATGCTAATGCTGACAGCTGAATCATTTTTAACTCAGAAATGCTCCAGGGGAAAAACTAAAATTCATTAGACTTGGACATCATGTTAGAGGAAGCAAATGCACTTGCTAGTGCTTGAATATTGATTAACTCCATTGTCCAACAGTAATGGGAGAAGTCCATAATCATAAGCTCAAACTTTGACAAACTTTTTTTTTTTTAAATCTTTCAAGGACAATAGGTCTAAAATACCTCCATTCCTGGAATGTAATGGTGAGGGTACAGATTCTGAGCCACACAAGCAGTTTACTACAAACAGGTTGTTCAGAGTTGTCATCTTACAAGCAGAGCACCACTCAGCTGAGTGTGAGGGAAGAAATTTGAGAAACAAGTATGTTTTCTTACTGTCTCATCCTCAAGATGAGTAAATAGTAGCCCCATTGCTTATGCAGCAGGGAACAGTTAGAAGGAAGCCTGTCATTCCATCCAGTAAGTGCAAGAGATGTTACAGAGTGCTGGCACTGTGCATTCATGTCTGCGCAAAAGGACAACAAACCCAGCTTTTGCATGAATGCTGTGTTTGCAAGCAAGAGCCTGCAGTGAGCCTCCTGGTGCTGCCCCACCAGACAGCTAGCTAGCTTGGTCAGACATAGGGCCTGGGAACTCTTTGCCTTTCAGTCTCTCCCCCTGTTGATGAAATTGCTTTAAGATCCATTGAAAACTACCCAAGCCCAGTAATATTATCAAACACAGTTTATTAAAAAACCAAAGGACTAAAAAGATTTTGATCAACCAGTTTCAATTTACACTTCATAAATGAAACAAGATAAGTCATTCTCATTTTAATTACAGAGAGGAAAAAAGTGAGTAACTTACATCCATGAATGACATCCTCTCTGATCCGCTTGTCAGTATCATGCTATTAAGATGTAACTCTTCCTTATTAAGCCCACTCATTCCAGGGTAGCTGCCCTGCTTCCCACACACAGACACACAGACACCCAGCACACGTCTGACTCTGCAGGAGACAGAACAGAGAAGAGGATGTCAAATGGCAATCAACAGCCGCTCTAAGAGCTGAAGAACCTCGCTGAAGGCACCAGCCCTTGGTAAGACAGACTGATGAGAACTAACATCTATCGGGTTCCGTAAGTTCTACCTGGAGTTTCTCCTCCCTCCCTTTTCCTTCAAAGCTGTCAATGATTTAGATCCACAGTTATATACAGGGCCTACCTCTTTCAAAAAAAAAAAAATCACTTAGATTAGCATATGTTTAAATTTGCTTTTAGTTGCTATTCACATCTATTTCATTCTGCAGTCAAGTATATTTAATTCCAATAAACTGTGAAAGATGAAAGAATAGGGATTACCTTTACTTCTACAAAGGCAGCTCAAGTTTGTTTCTTGAAGATACCTGTTAAGTCAAGTTAATCTAGAAGAGAACAATCTGTACTGCATACAGCATATCACCAAGGAACTTCAGGAAAAATATTTAAGTAATTTGTCTTGTTCTTAAAACCTTCTCCTCTTCCTCAAGCCCTTCCTGTAACAAGGGGCAGGGGTTAGTCTCTGTAAACTGGAAAAATGAAATTCCTACTATCCTACTTTGTGAAATACCTTTTCAGCCTACTGCTGCAGAGACAGAATTCAAAAAAACCCAAGCAGCTGCCCCAGAAACTACTGTAGTCTCCCTTAATGTTCGGTACACTTTTCAATTAATACTGCGAGCAGTTTGGGAGTTAGTAGTAAAAAGAGAACAGACCCCAAGTAAACATCCACTGTATAGTTAGAGTGGACATAAAATTACATGTTCTCCAGCAGCTCAGCTTTTGGATAGCAAGACAAAAAAAGGAGGCGGGGGGGAATATTCAAAAGAACAATTGACTCATTTATTTTTATCTTTTATTATGAGCTAATACCAGGATGACATTCAAATGTCAGATGGCACAATTAAGACAGTCTTGGTAGGAATTATTCCAGCATTCCCCAAATTACAATTTAGTACACGAATGGCATCAAATGTATGCATCACTCCCACAGAGAAAAATGATGAAATTCTAAATATCTTATACCGGAATATTTTCTGCATCAAATGGGAAAAGAAAAACTGCTGGTAACACAGCTGACCTATAAGCCTTCTGTGATAATGACCTGCAGAACAAAATATTCCCCTATTTCCATCTAGTAAAAAAAATATGACTTTTGTTCAAGATTTAATACTTTTATATGGTTAGCCACAGCAGGTATTAACCTCAGTTTTACTATATTTTTGTAATGCTACAAAAATCCTATAAAATCAAATTATAGTGAATTTTTCAGTGATTATAATTAAAAAAGCGCAGCTTGTACAAAATAAAAAAAAATAAGATTCTATACTCTAATGAAAAATTTAAGACATTTTTAAATGAACAAAAGAAAGCACTTGTTAAGCTCTCCAATATTCAATGCATTCTGCACTTATCTGAAATAGCCAGACAGGAGCTAGAATTCTACTCCCCTTAGTTCATGACTAGTAACTTTGACACTATTATATATATATATAGAGGATCTATGTCTGATATTTTTACAAATAAATACAGGATAAACCATATTGCATAGTGTGTGCTTGCTGTCTGAGTCACACTCCAAAAGTTTCACAGTTATGGTAGGGAATTAAACTTATAATCCATGGGATGAAACATTAACAGTACATGAAATTTACTTTTAAGTATGATAAATTGTATATAGAATTAAGCAGTGAACTCAGACAAACAACTCTTGCCATTCTTGCCAGCCATACTAAACCAACTCTACTGGACAATTATATCCAGCCAACCAAAGAGCAACTGTTAGCTGTACCTAGGACCAAAAGAGATCGTTCTGCTTCTAAAAATAACAGAAACAGCCCCCCCCCCCTTTTTTTTTTTTAAGTTCCTCTAAATCAGTAAACATGTTAGGAAATCTATGCTAACAAGTGGCACACAGCAGACACTGCTTGAAGTGTTGCCTACTTGCAAATATACATAATACATACAGACATGAACATTATGATTTTAGTTTCAAAACATGTCACTGGTGGTCCTGTTACCAAATAAAAAAATGGCACTCTTCCAGTACAATTTATAGCACTATATGGTAACTTGGTTTTCCTTATAAAACTGAAAGTCTTGAACAAAAGGCTTATCAGGAAGAAAAAAACCACTAATTTTTACTCAGTCATAAATATCTTTTCTTGTTTCTTTGTTAGTACCAAGATATCACTGAATCCTTCTGGCTAGTAAATTTTAGAAAACAGCACTCTGACTGGATTCAACGTCCTTAGAGAGTTTATGGCTTGGATCCTATGGCTCAAAAAGATTCGGTATACATAAGAGTAAGCAGAATCTATAAAAAATCCCTACTGTTGTGAAACGCTAGAAGTAGACTTTGCACAGTTTGACTACAGATAATGCAACATGTGGCAGGCAAAAAGTGACAGGACTTGTATGCAGTTGCATGATCATATACACACACACGCACACACCATACACTCACTCTAACTAGTGTAAAGCTCTGCAGATATTAACCCTTTCACCAGCTATGTTCATGGAAATGCTTTCTTTAAGGCAGGAAGTATTTAAGTAAGGTAAAGTTACCTTTATTTTATTCTTTGTACCTGTAAGTCATTTGTACAGATTGTGACAATTTCAAAAACATAAATAGTGTCCTTAACATGTTTCCTAAATTAAGTTGCTAAAGTTCTGACCCACTGTGGAAGACATTCACTGAAAGGCCATTTAACACTTTTTTTCTCATACAATCAGCAAATTTATTGCCCCAGCATAGAAAAAAAATGTTCTGATTAATTTAGAAACGTATAATGGCAGGGAACTCCCATAAGCAAAATTTTATTTAAAAAAATTCCCTCAAATTCTTACCCATTAATTACAAAAAGGTTTGCTTGCTTACACTATGTAGAACTTACAGTTTCCTGTGGTAGTACATCCTCCACAACTACTGACCTTGTGTTCAGATGCACTTTTTCCTGACCTTTTACACGGGTAAGAATCTGAACATATTCAGCTGTCTCCATCTAAGTGACTGGCATATACAAAGGTGATGTTTCCCAGTTAAATTGTCTGATGAGGACAAGGATGAAATAAGCAGGACGTGTATGTGAGCCCATTGCTTCCAGTTAAGCCTAGAACATAGCAGCATTGCCATTTGATTAGATCCGTTTGTATTTGCAGTAACAGATATTTCAGCTGGGTAAGCAAGTGAAACAGTTCTCTCCCACCCCACAATGCCACATTTGTAATTAAATGATCCACTTACTGAATTTTTATTTCACCAGGAGAAGAATCAGAACTAGAGTCCTTATTTTATTCACAGCAACCAATTATTTTGCATTTTTAATTTTGGGATACTTTCCATAATGAGCTGAATCAAAAAATCTATTTGAAAAATATATATTTTTATATATATATAAAAAAAAACTCATTAGGTTTTGAATGTGAAATACCAATCAAGTTTATCTTTCATCTTTGATTCCACCCCATTGTAGGAAACAGCTTAACCAAGCTTGCATGCTAATTATTCCTCAGACGCAAGTGTTTAGGCATTTCATACTTTGCCTAGTGAAAGGGCTAACCCTCCGTGACACAATCATAACTAGACCAGTGATTCTGAAGCAACATCCTGACCCTTAATACTGTCAGTTTCAAGCTATCAAGCTGAAAAATCCTTGATAAGGTGAGAAGATGTCACTGCGAATCGATTAGACGATGTGCCTAGAGTTCTGCAATACCATTTTCTAAAGTTTTTTATGCACCATTGATTGACAGAAAAAAATCCATTTTTCTTTGCTTTCCAAGTCGCTCTGTGCAATGACTGACTCTTTGATACTGTCACTTTTTAAAAGTAAACCATACAAGCCCTCACACTTCAACTTCAAGGGGGCTTATGTCCATTCTTTGTTTTCCACCTTTAAAGGCTTAAAAAAAAAAAAAATTGTGTTGTCATAGATTCATGCGCAAGTGCTCTGGTCGTTTGGAAATCATGGGAAAAGCTTGTTTTTTATATGGCCCAGAGTTTGGTTGTCGGATTGGAAGTGGTGCTGAGGCCTCTCCACAAACTGTCACATCCATTTGTTCTATTCCACTTGTCTCCATTGGATATTCCACAGGTGTCTGAGTATTTGATGCGCTGGCAGAAGCACCTCTTCCCCAGAATTCCCCCGGGGAGAACTTTACAGGGCTTTAAAACAAGAAATATAAAAATCAGAGGTGAAGATATACACAGCAGCAAGGTATGTCCTTCATTCTGCAAGAAGCTGAACTCAAATGCCTATAGTGAGACATTTAATTCTTTCTTCCACTTCCAAAAGTTTGAGAGACAGTTTCCAAGTCTAGCCTCCACCAAGGTTTCTTGTAAAGTAAAATTCTTTCATCTGAGTAGTCAGCAAAATATATTTCTAGATCAGTGCAGAAGGAATTGTCTTTAGTAACATGACTCTTTAGCAACACAAAAATACTTAGGATATTCTGGAACAGTTTTAGAGGAATGGTGTGCCAAAGTCACCAGACTGTGAGGCTGTACCAGTGTTGCATAGCTGGCAAATTAGTACTTCTTGTGCTGCCAAACACCATACATTTGTCTCTAATAATGTGGTTTATAACACTGGATTGATGCTGCACTTCTAACAGAAGTGATCAGATTACTGAGAAGACAGACTGCATTTCTTATTTTTAGTACAGATATTTTTCAACAACTTGCCAAAAGAGGGAACCAAATAATAATAAATAATAATAATAAAAGGATACCTGACTGGTGTCCTAGGGCTACCTATGAATCTGCGAGGTGATCGAATTTTTGGTTCAAAAGAAAATTTCTCTTTTACGCTTTCAAGTACAGATGGAGCCACATATGTAAAACCCTGCAAAACAGGAATAAATGCACTGTCACTTATAGGCAAGATTTACATTTATGATCACTTCTGCAGTTATGACCATTAAAGAGGGAATTAAACTTATAAGAAGGAGAGTAAGCATAGACACATGTGAACTTCTTTTCACTTTCTAAAGCAAATAGCAGGATGTGAGTTCCTCACCTGAGTATCTGTTTGCCCCAGGTGTTTCTACTCAGAACACAGATCCCCACAGAAATGCTCAAATTAATTAATTCTGAACTACAGAATGGACACTGTTCTCTTTGCACATCTATGAAAAGCAATCACATGTCCAGGGTTTCTAATGCAATTCTGAATTGGAATGTTCACGTTTCAGGAAGTGGACAAGCTTTGTTGTTTAAGTTATCCATATAAAGAAAACCTCAGCAGTAATCCAACCAAAATATATTCAAAGCCCCCAAACATGTCAAACCTGCTGCAATATACGTGTTTAAAAGTATCATGGTTTGCTTCAAGTATCAGGTGGTAAGACTCAAGATAATTAATTTACCTGATAACACTACATACCCCTCCAGAGTCATTAGACACTTGTCCCTGGTTCACTTACCAGAAAAACCTGGTTGGCACTTTCACTGAGAGTAGAGTCATCTGGGCTATCAACAGGTGTCTGACGTGTAAACTTTGAATCAAACTGGCTCACATCCTCTTCAGATTGCTTTGCAAAAACAAAATGATTAAGGGTTTATATTACAGATATCAACCAAATGCCTTAGCGGTGATCAGTGAAGCCTCTGGATGGAGTTCATTCCATAGGTTTTTGGCAGAGCTCTGCTGTAGTAAAACCCTGGAGTGGTGTCGAAATCCTGTCGCTGCCCGTGGGAGGTCACTATGGGCACTGACACTGAGAAATAAAGGCAAGGGGGAGGGGCAACAATTATGGATCAAAGAGGAAGATAAATTAAAAAGATGCCTTAAAAAAAAATCTCAAATTACAAACAAAATCGTTTAGAAATACATTGGCAGTTTTTTGCAAGTTTAACCCTGGTCACAGCCAGTATAGAACAGCTGTATCTATTAGTTTCTGGAAGTTTATCTCTCCAGACAATCTCATCCCATTTTTGCAGGCGCGGAAGTGTTTATACTGTTAGGGACAGACAGTAGCTCTGGAATAAGTTACTAAGAATATTGTTTAATTCAGTCAAAGAATAACAGACATAATTCCAAGATCCCTTCGCTCATCTCAAGTGTAACTGAAAAGGCAATATATCTTCATTTGTGGAGGCCTTCACACAACCATGAAATCACATTTTTAAGAACCAGCTGGTTTGCACAAGTAACTTTTACAAAATTTGCTAAGAACAGGGGAAAAAAAAGAACTATCTTCAGAAAGTTGGTTTGGAAATACTCTTTTATGTCATTCTGAATGTGAGTCAATAAAGTGAGGAGAAAAAAAGGGTAGGAGGCACCAAGCTGTAGTATGCCCAGCATTAATGGTACGTAAGTCATTTTAAAGTGAGATTTTTAGTAGAGTCAGGAACTATCTGGATAGCAATACCCATTGCAGCTGTAGCTAATTGTACCTGGGGGGGGGGGGGGGGAAAAAAGGGGGGGAAAGAAAAAAAAAAAAATCCTCAAAATATATGATAGGATAATAGAGGCTTATCCATCATATCAGTAGTTTGAGGTAAACTGAAATTATTGCCTGTAATGCACTAGATGCATTGTGAATATTAATACGCAAATATCCAGGATGCTGAATTAGGTGACTTCATTTTCTTTTGCTTAGCAGCTGTTTATCATTTTAGTTTCAACTAAGTACTGACTTTCTGTATAATCTTTAGAAGCAGAAATTCAGAGATAACTGCACTTCCAAGTCTGTTCGATCTACCGTTTAGCAGAAGGAAATTGACATGGAACTTTCTCCTTCCAAAAGACTGAACGGAAGGATAAATTAGCTTTTAGCTGACTTTGCTGCCCTTCTCACATAAAAAAAAGCAACATCCTATTCCAATGACTAATATGTACAATGACTATAGAGGAGTAAGACAGGAACAGTATGCTCATGACAGCCAATGTTTCAAACTGTGCAGAGTCTTAACAGAGAGAGGTCTTTTATTTCTTAAACGTTGATACTAGCATCAGTTCTCAGGAAAACAAACAAACAAACAACCCACTCTGCATCAGGTAGTTTCTCTTTTTGGTTTGACTGTGAATCGGAGAGCCAGTAAGCTAAGTTGATGCATTTTAAGTATTTAAAGTACCAGAAAGCAACAGTACACTACAGTTTGTCAGAGTGAAAGTTTCTAAGTTCTACGTACTGTATTGTTTGAGACCTTTCCTAAAGGCACACAAGGACATTTCACAGCATTCTGAGGACATACCAGTAAAGGTTTAAAGGGAGGTTCCACCTTCCGTGCTAACAGCTCATCCCAGTTAATGTGTCTGAAGAACGGGTGAGCCTAAAAAAAGTTAGCAATAGCAGAGTCACAATCAGCCTTCTGTGTACAACTCAAAGAAATTTGAAATAACAATGATCATCTAGAAATAAGATGCAACTGTTTTTGTTAAATGTTAATGTTAACAAGAAAAACAAATTAAAACAAGCTGGAGAAATAATAAGCATGTTCTTTTCAGACTCCCTCTGTGGCATCTTTCTCCCTAGAATCACATATGGGTCAAGTGTAATATATTCTGCAGCGCTAGCAGAATAGTAGCTAAAAATTGATACCATCCCTCTTAGTCAGAAAACATACGACCTATCATGTTTTCCTCAAAAGCATTAGTAAAAGCTAGTTGATATATATTTACAGTTCAAAAACATAGAGGTATTTTGCTAGATACCTAAAAATAACATCAAAATACTGAATTAATGACAAATTATCCTAACAGTGGAGTTAGAGGAACTCCATGGGAGCTTGTTAACGTCACCCCAAAGAATGTCATGCTGGAAGCAATGGGAACTAGACAACACTGAATGCAAACTAACTCCGTTTTTCCCTTGAAAGACCTGCACTAAATACAAGGACTGGAAGGTTTTTCATCAGACCACTAGAGTCTCATCACTGTAATATATGGCCAACTGCACAATTCAGCACTGTGCAGCTAACAGGAAAAACCTACTGGAATACAAAGCTGAAAAGAGAAGTTATTTTCCAATTCTCAAATCATCAAACAGGTAGACAGCTGCTCTTTTCTTCAATGTTGAAGGATTCACATTTTGACCAACTGTCAAGTATGGCTGCCTTTTTGCTCATTACATGTCAAGACAGACATAGCGTCTGTTGATGCACCCTCTAAACTGTTCTTGTTTTTTCAATGAAGTAACTAAGAAAAGTTAAGCAAGAATTACCTGAACTTCTCCAGCATCCCCAGGACCAGCTCCTAGACGTGAGGCAGCATTTCTTTTTAGCAGCTTAATGAGATGTAACACAATTTAACAAGGAAAAAAAAAATTGAAATGGTTATCCCATTATGAATAGACTATTTCTGACACGAATCATCATTTGAATGAATGGCATGCAGAATGAATACAGAAGAATCAAAGTCTGCATTTATTAGAAAACCACTGTATTTTCAAGGAAAAATCACTTTCCGTACCATGCAAAACCAGGACCGACTTGATAATTAGTAAAACAAGCATGGACTGAAAAGCTACAGTGGTCTCATTACGCTTCTATTTTCTACATACACATGTAGGACTGACACTCATTAAAATCTACCTTTTTAAGCAGATCTCTGGCTTCTTGTGTGAGGTAGGGAGGCAAGTTGAGCTTACACTTGAGAATCTTGTCAATTGTTTTCTTTCTGTTCTCCCCAGTGAAAGGAGGCTAGAAAGCACCATTATAATGGGAGGAAAAATACGACTTGTTCAGCTCTCTCATTTGTTTACACAGAACTAATTTCAGTAATTTACAAAGCAGAAAAAATTACTGCAAATGGGACTTCCAAATAATTGTTTGGGTCACGAGAGCAGCTCATGACTCTAGCCAAAATAAGTACAGCCATGTTTTAGTTCTTACTTACGTCTATACAAACACATACATATTTATACATGCATCTGAATTAGAATACAGATAACTTCAACAGCGAGGAGGAGAATACATGCAATTATAACTGTGCACCTACTGCTCCAGTCAGCATGTCATACATTAATGCCCCCAAACTCCACCAGTCCACAGCACGATTATGCCCGCTCCTCATCAAGATTTCAGGGGCCCTGTAACAGGAAAGATTAAAAAATAGGAAAGTATTTTTAAACAAGATTAGTACTAATTCTGACTGTTACTTTCCAAAGAAAGCCTCATTTATCATGTAAAATTTCCATAAATGACTGAACATATGAACCATCAGTTTAAAAAGGTAAAATTCAGCCATTACCCCCAGACCAGAGTAATACTTTTCTGTTTCATCATGCAGCTCACATGTATTCAATTGTTCCACAGAACGTGTGCGTGACTGTTCCATCGTGAATAGATTCTTTACATAATCCAAAGTCAGTCAATTTTACATGACCTGAAATTAAACAAAATCAAAAATGTGCCAGACACTTGTACAAGCAACATTAAAAAATATGAATTTTTAACATAAATCTGCAACAAAACTGAACTACTTCTAGACACCTCCAATGTACCGACAAAGCAATAGTTATGAAATAGAAGCAGCTGATCACACTTAAAACCTCTGCATTATCTCTGCATAAGGTGTTGCCACTTAGCAAAGAAAAACGAGGCCAAAACTACCAAAACTTGCTCACATATAGACAAGTGTCTACATATCTAAACGCCTATTGTTCAATCATAAAGAATATAGAGCATCAGTCAGATGAGAAAGCGGGTTAATGAATCATATTGCTTGTGTCAAAATTCAGAGAACAACTTTCAACAAATTGTAAAGTACCCGGAATTATTCAGTACAAAGAGTTACACTAATTAAAAAGTAAAAAAGTGGTTTAAGATGACATAAAACTACTGGATGGTACAGACTGCCAGAGTAGTCAGTATCATGTAGTCAGTGCAGCAGCATGCTTAGGAGTTACTACTGCTGTCAAGTAAAGTGTCAACAGCTAGATAAGGCCTTTCAGCTACAGATGATTTAGCATCCTGTATTTTTTGCCTTTTCCTAACTAATTTATCTCCATTTCTAACATGCCATAGATTCTACAGTGAAGATGCAGATGTTTAAGTACTTTACAATGGCCCAACAAAATTATGCTTTAACAAATCTCCAAAGTGTCGCATTACTAAGTCAATTATTCAAAAAGCGCTTGCACTATTCACACAAAACTTGGAGCTTACTGGATTCCTTGTATTAAAATTGAAGAAGCACTCTTTAAGGACAAGCAATTAGCTTTGGCAGTTATTCCGTTACACCAAGAGTGATAAGGGACACGTCACTGTTCTAAGGAAATTCACATTTAAATGAACTGTTGTGACCTTTGAAAAAAGGATTTTCATATCATGGGAAACTTAAAACTGTTATTATATTTCTACCTTGATGATTAAGCATGATATTTTCTGGCTTCAGATCACGATAGATTATTCCTTTTTGATGCAAGTGCCCCAGTGCCATTGAGATTTCTGCCAAGTAAAAGCTGAAAGAAAAAGTACACCATACAATTAGACACATTAGTACTCAACGTGCTTTGCATGATTTAAGATTATTAGGTACGTAGCAATGATTCCTCGAAAGTATCATTAGATGTGTACGACAGAATAAAGTAGAGAAATAATGATGCCTTGGAGGCTGGTTTGCCAAAAGGCATACAGACTCCAAGATGAACTACCCAACCACCCCGTTAACATTAGGTTTATCTCTTCAGTAGGTATCCTGTCACGAACCCAAATTTACTGGTCAGTGGTTAAAACACGCTTTAACCTGTATTACAAAACCTCCTCCAACCTCTCTCACAAGAGAAGAAAAAAACTGAAGCTAAAAAGGTACTTGGCAGCACCCAGAGTGCTATCTGCAGAACAGTATTACAATTTCATACGTACATTAGAGCTGTTCTATCAATACATGCTGTGGAAAGAGACAACTGCCTTCAGTTGTGTGAAGAATAATCAAGGAGGGTGTACTTCATCTTGTTTATATGTAAAGTATCACTACTTGAAAGGTTATTTCTCATGCATTAGAAAAAGCATCTTTCTTCTCATGATCAGTGTGTGAAGTAATAACAAATACAGCCATTAAAGTGATTCTAAAGATTCTGTAACTGGCTGGTAAAATTGCGTGTGGATTAAAAATAAACAAAAAAAATCCACAAAAAGCAGTCAAACCAAATCTTTCACAGTCTTTTCTCCAACACCTGAAACACATCCTTCACCCCAAGCACATGTATCAACCCTATGGAATATAACCTCACACTTCAGTGAGCATCGAATGCTCTTCAAGGCTGTAGTTGTGTATGCACAAACTGGTAAGTACAACAGAGCACATATGTCTTCACAAAACCCAGTGAACTGCTCTTTTCACTAGACTATAACATGAATGAAGAGTTACAGTTTCCCAAGTCAGAATGAACAGTTTAAGCGCTCCGAAAAAACCCGATTGGATTACCGAAATATAATTTGTTTCACGTACCAAGCTGTGTCTTCCATAAATATCCCTTCTCTCTCTAACTGCATAAATAGTTCTCCTCCTGTCATGAGGAAAAAGGCGAAGTATAACACTCTATTAAAAGTGCATTCTATCATTTTCAGTGAGTCAAAAGTCTATTTTCCAGAAAAGCTATAAGCAAGCAGTATTCGGTTCTGCTCTACATGAAGTTGTTCCACAAAAAATTAGGAAGCATGAGAGTAAGAGAGTAGCGGCTACCTAAAGACATGCTAAAGGAAATCAAAAGCGCATTCTGGCAAATGGAAGTATTTTTGTCTCTGTTTTTTCCATTGTTATAGCTTGACCAAATTGCTTCAAATCTGTTTCAATTTCCCTGTCTGCGAAATAAAGATACCAGTTTCTTGTTTCACAAAGAACTTGCAAAGACCACAACTTCAGGTACTCAGTAAGACCACATAGCATCTTTCCAAGTGTGAACGTACAGGAATTATATCTAATGCAATAAGAGGTATTAAAAACCTTCTTATCCTGTACTGTCATGAGAAACATCTTTTTAATGATTAGTACTACTTTACTAGAAATTTTATTTAAATTACTCTGTGTATTTTTACTGCTAACTTATTTTACATTTTTAAAAGAATATCCCAACAGTTGCCTGGCACTTTATATGTAGAATAATAAGAAGTCCAAATTCTTGGCTATGTAAGACCCCAAGAAGCAGGTAACAATTTAACATACTGACCACTGAGATACTCAAGGATGAGGTAGAGTTTTCCACCAGTCTGAAAGGCATAAATTAAATCTACGATGAAGGGATGTTTCACCTCCTCCAGTATATTTCGCTCTGCTTTTGTATGAGCTGTATCTTTTGCATTCCTTACAATCATTGCCTACAAAAAGGCAGAGATACGTGACTGCAAGAATACGCTCAAAAAAGCAGACTTTTAAGTTTACTTCCATTACGAGTTTACTGAATCACAACACTATATATGAGTCAGCAACATAGTAAAAAAGAAAAATCAAAAACAAACAAACCCCCCCCCACCATGAAATATACAAGACATGCTCACTGGTTTCTTACCAAAGATTAATTCTTTATTTAGTTCATAGAATCATACAATAATTTAGGTTGGAAGGTATCTCCAGAGGTAATTAAAAAGATTAACCATTAAAAACTACAGAGACAGAACGGTTTAGTAAAAGATTAATTTCAATATGTCTCCGGATATGAAAACAATTGTATGCATCCTAGATGTGGCATTGATTTTAGCTATACTAAACAATTAGATAGGTATAACAGCTGAAGGGGAAGAGAATTTTCTGCATTCAGATAGCAGTGAAACGTGAGTGTTTACCTTACCTTCTTAAGAACTTTCATGGCAAAAATCTTCCCGGTATTTGCTCCAGTTACTTTTCGTACTTGAAATACCTATGCAACACCAATACAAAAGCAATTATATATATTATAAACTGCATTTGTCATAAGAAGTTAAAAACAAAGAGATCACCTACAAATACAAAGCTGCCTGGAGGGGAACAGTTAATTATCTGAAACAGAATTTGGGGTATTTTCTAGTGGCAGTCCTACTGCTGCCTGGCAGGGAGGCTCTGCCAGGGATCTCACTCTGAACCACCCCACTGCCAAGGTCTCTCCCGAAACACTAACCTTCACAGCCTGGAGGTTACCTTCTGGAAGGAATTTTTCTGACTACAGGATAGGAAGATTAGGTCTTGCCAAAGGTGGCACTTTCACCACCTTCAGCATAACAGATTTACTTCAGTAGAAAAAAGTTCCTTACCTTTCCGTAGCCACCTTTGCCAAGTACGCGTAGTAACTCAAAGCACTCTGGTCGGATCTTTTCTGGACCTCTGTTAACACTAGTTTCTGAAATCTCAAATTTTTCACAATGTTCCATGCCACTGAATAAAATCAAAACAAGAATATAAGACTACCTGATGCTCAGAAGTGATCAAGAGAAAGTAAAAAGCAAATTACTGTCTGAAAAGCATATAAGTATATCTGGTATAACTGAACGGCCACTTTGGAGATTTGGAGAATTCCTAGCATCAGAAATTTTAGTTAGGTGCGTGCAAAGCAGTAAGTGGCAACATACACAGAAAAGACCACTTGCAAATTATCGGGATTTAGAGTATCAAGATTTCCTTCAGATTCCTCCATTTTTAATGGACGATAAATCTCTGTATTAAAACAGAATTAATTTTCAAGAACCAAAGCCTCAAACTGGCTCAGACAATTTCTACAAGACCTCAGGCAAAAGCATGGTTATAAGGTGTGTTTAAATTTAAGTCACATCCAGCAGTCCTAGTCATGATAAGATTTCTGTAACATAAATATTTTGCAGAAAAAGCTGCAACATAAAACCGTCTCACAACTCTGAACACGCCACAGAAGACTAAACCATAATTTAATAATGCTTCTAAATTATGCTACAGTTCTGCAAAAGACAAGGTGATGATAACAGACTGATCCTGCTAAAATAAACACGACTAAACTGTTTAAACTGCATCGATACATTCTTCTCACAATGTGGTACACTGAAACAGTTTGGAAAACTTTAAATGAAATAAAGGTAGCCCTCCCATGAACTCTGAATTAGAACTTCTGAATTCTGCTTCTCATCTACTTCAGACTGCCACGCAAATGTGCAACTGGAGCCTTTATGAAATGGACAGAACATACAATGTTCGGCAGACAGTGCATTACATTCATACTGCAAATATTAGTCAACTACAACAGATACGTTAGGAGAAACAAGGATTAAGAGACAACAGTAGGTTTTGCCATATTTTTTTTATTATTTTATTTCAAGATACAGTTCACAAACTTTAACGTGAAGAAATAGTGGAACAACTAGGAACAACTCAAAATTTTCTGTTGAACTTAACAAACATGTCGATATACTTAGAGATTATATGTAGTTGGTATGAATGATACAGAACATTTTCTAGCAGCAACTTACAGGTCATATTGGCCAAGTCCTCCGTGGTCCATGCTCTCACTTAATTGTCCCTGGGGAGGGGAGGGGTAAAAGGAAGATTAATTATAATGTAAGAAACAAAGCAGTGTTAAAAATAAACGTAGTGATGTGTTTTATAACTTTTTAGTTTTTATTATTATTAAATTAGTCCAAACATCAGAATAATGAATTATCACCAGAAGATAAGACATCTACAAAACTCTGCAGAAGAGGTGCGACATTTCCATGTATCTCAATGACATGGGGAACCACTGTTTTACCTGACTGCACTGTTACTCAACAGGTAACAACTTCATTCCCTTCCCCCCAGGGATCCCGAAAAATTTTAAGGTACTACAATTTTTTTTTTACATTTGCTTTCACATAAGAATTTTAAATTCCTGTTACAGTATTATGCAAATTAGAACTATAATCAAGTAATCAAGATTATGTAAATAGAGGAATCGGTATTCACGCAAACCAGAAACCAACAACTGATTGAGAAGGCTTTACTATTCCATACTGATGATTAGCTAATGTCAATAGTAGCAAAATAGCTAAGCTTTACTCTCATGATAAATGCCTCTACTGATCAATAATCATTCAGATAGATCAAGGCATGCAAACATTAATAAAGGAGCCTCCAGTACGTCAACCTAAGTACTAGACATCGTTAAAGAATGTAGTTCAATTGAAGATATACTTTCTTAAAAGAATTTTTGACTTGATTCCTACGAAATGCGATATAGTATCTCCCTCTTTAATTGTGACTCTACATGGCAAAAAAGTGCAAACCAAGCAGACAGCTGGAATGAAAACAAAGAGAATTTAGTGTGTAAGCTTCCTAATGCGTTACATTTTTATTTTTAAAAATATATACATAAAATAGAGACTGCCAAGTTTGTGAGAAACAGTCTGGACTCTAAGGACTGGATACAGATATAATGAATGACTTGTGCAATCCACAGAGAACTAGACGAAAAAAGCCATACAGAGATCTGCAAAAAGCAGACTAAGCTAAGGAGTACATTTTTGGATATTATGTAAATGAAAACACTAGCCAAAGAAAATGATGAACTTTCAATAGCTTCCAAACCAAGTAAACACTAAAGCTTACAGAGGCTGGTATATTTTGGTGGGTGAGCTGGAGGGGAATTTAACTTCTGGTTCGACCTACTAGCACCACCAGCAATTACAGAGTCCAAAAGTTCAAGTCAGTTTCCAAGTTGGAAAGTTGCTAGCTCATGTCCTCTTGATAACATTTATTAGAGAAATCAAGCTTATTGACATCTGTTTCACAATAAAATACACCAAAGCTGCCCTTGACTCTACCGTTAGATGACAAAAACCAAATTCAAAAATTCATCAGAGATGGAGAATAAATATCCATTACATTTCTAGATTTTTTTCCTTCTTGAAGTTACCCACTGGTTCTGGCAAAGCTTATGCATGCTATTCTTACCCCTGCTTTCGTTCTCAATACTAACGTAAGCAAAATTCACTTCAGATACTGGTCCGTTATTTGCAAGGACTTTTTCTCTTGTTGTTTAACAAAACCAAGAAATGAAATGGTATGCTGGCTAGAAACCCTTCAGTTTGTAGTTATTCTTTCATTTAGTACAAACAAAAACATAAAGGTTTTATTCACTGTAATAACTAGTGCAAACAACCATATCACTTACAAGTAAACTCTCCACCTAAATACTTGTTTTTACTTCTAGTTTTACTTCTAGTTGCTCTAGAATAGCCATGCCTGTGTAAAACTACAACTGCTCTGTCCTTGAGGCTACGAGGGTTACAGTTTTCAGGAGCTGCAAAGGCCCAGTTCTGGGCAGACTAGACTAGATAAGCCTGATTTTACACCTTGCTCACTTTGAATTTAATGATCTCAACCTCTCAGTCTGCAATGTCTTTCTGACCCTTGAAAGACATGCACAATGCCTGTAGACATAGATTTCTGCTAAACATTTTTCCCAGAACACTTTTCTGATGCTTCCCCTTCTTTCCTGCTCTTATAGTCTCTGCTTTCTGGTTCTGTTTTAATTTTAGGTCCATTCTAATTTTTCCTTATCTGTTTTCCAAACACCTAATTCCTCTGCTGATTTTATTTTACTGACATTTCTCCAAACACTAGAAGCAAGCATGTAACATTGAATGTGGCTATCACAGGCAAACATTCATTTTTTGTGCCATCCGAGAACCGAGTCAGGTCGCCAATGAACGTTCATATTCATAGAAGTTGTGCTACAAATATTTCTGTCATACTCTTTTTTTTTTTTAAAGTTCACAATAACTAATGAAATCTTTAAATCATTCCTCAGAGTTACACTTTAAGACTGAATTATTGGAACATGAGGGAGAATTAATTCACTTTTCTTGCAGTCCCCCTTAGAACCTGTTCTTGGCAACATTAACAGTGTGATGCAGGTGACTTTTTTTTAAGCTAGGTACTTTATTGATTACTGAGGTCACAGATAGTGTTTTCTCCTACAAGTCGAGAAACTATGTGCCTTCCATTGTCAAATAATATCTCTGCAGTTTATATGTACAGTGTACATACTCCAACTGTGATACAGAGCACTGGGTTATCTCAGAGATTCTAAGTACGTCATTAAGATTTACACAGCATAAAATGAATGCAATAACACTTTAAGCAATACCAAAACTTTAACATACAGAATGATATAAAAAGCCACAGTAGCACTAGAAAAATAGAAACAGAAATGCTGTAATAAAATTCCCCCAAAGCCTTAACAGAATCTGTATGAAACACTAAAACGACGAAGTACGAGTTACAAGGTGAACTGTGCAAGAAAAGCGTTGAGATGGGGAGGCGCGCTGATCTGCATAGGCGTCTAGCACAGCACTTGAACGCTCCGCATTTAATTTTGGCGCTAGAGCAAGGGCTTTCTACAGTTCCAGAACGATCAGCATTTCTGCACTGCCGTTAAAACGTGACGAGAAAAAAAAGAAGAAAAAGCAAAAAAAAAAAAAACCACAAGACCCTTACTGCGACACCGTTGTGCTAGAAAATCCAAAAACAAACTTTTGTGGGTAGGGGGTGTGGGGGGGAATAAAGCTCCTGCGAGTTTGGCGCG